ATGGGTACCCTGACTAAACTAGACAGGACCTTGAGATGGTTCATCTTTTCCGCCTTATTGGGTTTAAGAGGTTCATACTCAGGATTTTTTTCAGAGGGTTTTTATGGGCCATCCTACTATAAGATTGTTGCTGGGCTACCACATCTAGGGCTGCAAGTCATGAGTCGTTTGAGTTGGGGGGGATCATGGTTGCAAGTTGGGATGTTCTCCACTATACTAACAGTTCTTAGTAGGGATTCTCGTTCCCTTTGTTATCATCCCTATGAAGGACTGCTCGTATAAGGGGGAACATCCCAAGTTGCAACCTACTTGAGGGCGGCCGGTCAGGTGTCGATTCGATGTGCTGAGAGTTTTTTGGGTTTAGGGTTTAGGATTTAGGGTTTAGGGTTTAGGGTTTAGGATTTAGGGTTTAGGGTTTAGGATTTAGGATTTAGGGTTTAGGGCTTAGGATTTAGGGTTTAGGGTGCAACGTTGCGCGGGGTCCATGCTTATCAGCACGGGCTATTTTACCTAAAACCCCTTCAAAAGGCCTTCTATAGGGTTGATTACGGGGATTATGGGGAGTAATCGCCCATCCTGGTATGTCTAGTGTAGTATTCGTGCTCAGCTCATGGAGCGACGCGTTGCCCGCATGAAATCAATCCCAATCCAAGAACATTTCGACAACCCCTTGTCTCATGCTACTAGGCTACCAGAAGCCTTGCAAACCCTAAACCCGAAACCCCAATTAACTAAACTCTCACGTCCCGAAAGCACAAAGCTGCAAGACCCCACAGTTATCCGCTGCAAGCCCCCTAAACCCTAAACCCTAAACCCTAAACCCTAAACCATCTAAACGCCTCGAACCATCAAAACCCCGCTAAGCCTCAAGCTTCCAGCTGTTTGAACCCTACTCGGAGGTTCATGGGTACTTTATAACCCCAATTATAAGTCTACTTGCAACCTGCTTAGGGGACTTCGGGGGCTGAAAAAGAACAACTCTACTTGGGGTTATAAGTACCCTGAACCTCCAAGTAAACCCTGAAACCCCTGGCTTGCTTTCTCGGCACCCCGGCCGCAGTCCCGCTAACCGCGCCGGTCCAGCCTCTTTTGGGGGAGCTCCTGCAGCCAGGCGGGCGTTTCGAGTTTAGAGGTTCGTGGTACTTATTAACCAATTACTAGATCAGTGTTAGGGATCCTTTTTACTTTTTGGGTTATGGGCTTTCTTATACACAAACAAAAAGGATCCTTTTTTCTTCCTAGGGGAGCAGGGATTAAGATTAAAGCTGCACTTCTAAGCCCCTTAAGTGACAGCTATAACCGGTTAATAAGTACCATGAACCTCCAAGTAGGGCTTAGGGCCAAGCTTGGGCTCCGTCTTAAGGGTCCCCAGGGCATTTGTTGAGGGGAAATTGGGTTACTTACCCTTTCCGGCTTGCGGCTGCACCTCGCACACTGCTGGGAGTACGGTGTCAGAGATCAGAATGTGAGGGCTTCATCATGGCTTTCCTTACTACCCCCCTCTTTCCTCCCCCCCCCCCCCCCCCCTTGGTTCCCCCCTTACATAACCTTAATTGGGCTTAGTAACCCCTAAATAAGGGTAGGATAAAGGGGGTAGGAGGGGAACCCGAAACCGTAAACCCCAAACCCTAAACCCTAAACCCATAGAGGGGGGGTAGGGGGAACCCATGGCTTCAGGGTTTCAGTAAATCAGAGATGTTAGAGTGTTTGTTTGTGGGGTTTGGGAGCAGAAGAACCGGCAAGCAACCCTTACGTGCTATACGCCGCTATACGTACCCCATAAGTCAGCTGCAAGCCTGAAGAGCCGTAATAATCCCCAAAGTTGTAAGCCCCTAGAAACCCGCTACTACCCAGAGCTTCGATTAAGTTAGCCTTATTCTAGCAGGGATCGTCATTGAGAGATCTCACCGCCCTAGATCCTCAACGCCCCAAGAGGAACCCTATTTTCGAGAACCGACAAACCCAGCTCCTATACACCCTTTTCAGGGTTCATAGGGTTGACAGGGTGCTTAGATTTCACGGGGTTTGTAGGGTTCGTAGGGTTTGTAGGGTTTACAGGGCCTGCAGGGTTTTCACAGTGATTATGGGGACATCGTACGGTTTGCATGGCTTTGTAGAGTTTACAGGCTTTTTTACAGGGCTCTTTATAGGGGCTCAAATGAAGGTTTAGGGTTTAGGGTTTAGGGTTTAGGGTTTAGGGTTTAGGGTTTAGGGTTTAGGGTTTAGGGTTTAGGGTTTAGGGTTTAGGGTTTAGGGTTTAGAGTTGGACAGGGCTTTTGGGGGGAGAAAACTGACCAGGGGGCGACTCCAGTTCGCAACTTCCAGCCCTGCCAAAGCTTTGCAGAGATGGCAAAAGAATCTCAGGGTTTAGGGTTTAGGGTTTAGGGTTTGGGGTTTAGGGTTTGGGGTTTAGGGTCTATGAGTTGGGGCTTAGGGAGTTTGGGGTTTGGGGCTTTTGAGGGCTTCAGCCCGCCCCCCCCCCCCCCCCCCCCCCCCCCCCACCATCTCCGCCCTCCCTAAACCCTAAACCCTAAACCCTAAACCCTAAACCCTAAACCCTAAACCCTAAACCCTAAACCCTAAACCCTAAACCCTAACCCCTGTTGTCAGCCGTGGGGTTGGAGTTTCGTCTTTGGGCTGTGCAGTTTACGTACTTGGTTCTTAAGAGGGGATTGAACTACAGGGTGGGGCCCCCTAGTTATAAGTAGAGTTATAAGGGCCCTAAATTGGGTTATAAGGACCCTAAGTTAGGTTATAAGTCCCTTAACTACAGTTAGTATAGTAAGGGGGCCCCACCCTGTAGGTATTGTTCCAGGACCCGGAGTAGGCCCTGCTTTCCTTTTTTTGAGGGTTGGGGTTCCGTTCTAGTCCCCTTAAAAGCATTCCGGTTACTCCTGGGTCTGTATAGGGGTCGGAATAATTACAAAGCGTATTCCCGTATGGTCCCTTTGTAGCTATACTAGACTAGCCCCCAAAACCCTGCTCTTATCATTAAGGCCCCTATATTCGCCAATGTGGTGGGCAATGTGTGGCCCGCACTTCATCTTCACACATGTCCAAAACTTACCCTCAAGAGCCAACCCTAAGCTGCTAACCCTCAACCCTAAGCCTTAAGCCCTTTCTTGCACCTAAACCCTAAACCCGAACCCTAAACCCTAACCCCCCCCTTGGTCAACAGCTTTAGACTCGATGCCTGCAAAATCTTCAGTGTCGGTGCGTTTGCGGCCTAGGGATGAATCACAGACGACAATTTTTCACGGTGAGTTCTCAAGATGATGGTCCTTTTTCTATATCCCCCTTGGGAATCATTTTTTGTTTATACAAAACCCAAGAGGATATTAATAATAATGTTCTTATTAAGGTTCTAAGGGGAGTATAGGTTTGGGCACCCGAAATATTAGGGGCCGCCTCATATCATAGTAATAGTAACCCCAAAAGGGACCGTAATTTAGAGAGGAGACCATCCCGGGGCTAGCCCAAAGGCTCCAAGGACCCTCCTACAGAGGGGACTGGTACCTCGGGATCTCAATTCCTGGGCTGTTGAGGGCCCCTAAACCCTAAACCCTAAACCCTAAACCCTAAACCCTAAACCCTAAACCCTAAACCCTAAGCCTTAGGGAATTTTAAGTCACTGACTGACCGAGCTTCGGTTTCTCGTGTTTAAGAGTTTCGGTTAAACGTAGGGGGCAAGCGGGGCTTGGGATGAAGCCCTAAACCCTAAAGCCTAAACCCTAAACCCGAATTAAACCCTAAACCCTAAGCCCTTAAACCTAAACCCTAAACCCTAAACTCTAAACCCTAAACCCTAAACCCTCAACCCTCAACCCTCAACCCTCAACCCTCAACCCTCAACCCTCAACCCTCAACCCTCAACCCTAAACCCTAAACCCTAAACCCTAAACCCTGAGCCGTGCAGTTTGTTCCCGTCCACCATGTTGTCGCTGCTCCAGCTGGCAAAGGGAAAGTGCCCAGACACATGAGCCCCAAGCAGGTGCGAAACTCCAAAGCTTTCATGCCACTTCACCCCCTACACATGTCAATGTAGCACCCTGCAAACTTATAGTATGGGTGCTGAAAAGGGTAACCTTGAGCACGAAAGGGTATAGGTTGCTTCCCATCGAAAACTCAGAAAAACACAGCCCCTTGCAGAAAGAATACCTCCGCACCACGCAACTCACACCTCCTAGCCCAAGCCACTTCCTTGTGCTATTGTAAAGTTCAGGAAGTGGGGTGTAAGGTTGAATGTTTGGAGGCCCCACACCTGCCTCAGAATCTCAACCCTAAACCCTAAACCCTAAACCCTAAACCCTAAACCCTAAACCCTAAACCCTAAACCCTAAACCCCTGCCACCTTTTTTTCAATGGCCATGTGGCCTTCGCCGCCTGGCAGCATCTGGCCCTAAACCCCAAACCCTAAACCCTAAACCCTAAACCCTAAACCCTAAACCCTAAACCCTGAACCCTGAACCCTGAACCCTGAACCCTGAACCCTGAAACCCTAACCCTAAACCCAACAGGGAGGTCAAGACATTTTCCATGTGGAGCTGTGGCTGGAAAACGAAGGAAGCCCAAAAGGCTGAAGCGTCCGGCAGACTTAGTTGCGATGAAGCTCGGCCATTCAATTGGAAACCCCAAATGCTGTTAAGCTCTATCACAAATCCCCGAGCCCGACTCCAACATGCCTTCAAGCCCTCAAAGTGTAAACCCCTAAACCGCTGAAGCCTCTCATCCCTGAAGCTCTCTAATCTCTGAAGCCTTCAACTTTAACTTGAACCCTGAAACCATAAGATTCCGAACCGGAGTGATGTGAGAATTTGTCGTCCTGTTGAGTTTCCACAGTGCAGGTGAAGCAAGAGAACTTCATTTTCTTCGGGATACCATGTGCAATCTCCTAGCCCCGTGGTGCACGTGGCTCAAGGCGAGTGCGGGGAAGCTGCCATTAAGAACGACAAAAGCACATCCCTTGCCGCTGCAGGCGTGTGGCACTGGCAAGGCTTGCGATGGCGAATATCTTTGCCGTGGTGCTGGCAGCGTCCTCAAGCTTTATGGTCGGTGGGCTCTGGTACTCTCCGGCCATGTTCCTCACGCCCTGGCTGCAGGCGATGGGAGACAGGCGGCAGGCAGGAGGCGGACACTCATCAGGCACCTTCGCCGCCGCCTTTGCCTTTTCACTGATCTCTGCCCTCGTGCTTTCCAACCTCATCGGCCCGAAGCCCACCCTCTCCCACGCACTGGGGCTCAGCCTGAAAGTGGGTTTGGGGTTGGTGGCCACGAGCTTCGGCATCAACTACCAGTTCGCGGCTCGGCCTGTCACTGCGCTGCTCATTGACGGTGGCTACCACACGGTGCAGTTCCTCCTGTTTGGTCTCGTCCTGGGGCTGTGGCACTGAGCGGAGCGCCGCAAAGACGAGATCAACTGCGGGCCTTGCCTTCACAGCGTGCGCCCCGCCCTCCCTTCCGACAAAGGGACCCAGACCGGGTATTTGGCGAGAGTCGAGAGTTTTGTCTTTCCTCTTTTTTTTTTTTTGGGGGGGGGGGGGGGAAGGGGGTTAGGGTTTAGGGACTTTTGGGGGTTGTTAAGGCCTCGGGGATTTGGGGTGGGGGGGGGGGGAGAGCGGGGGTCATTCATGGGCCCTTGATGCCTGAAACCCCAACACCTTGATGCCTGAAACCCCAACACCTTAAGCCTTAAACCCTAAGCTTTATACATTAGGGGTCTCCTAACCCCCAAGTCTCTCTGGAGGTTTGCAGTTTGCGCGTTGGGAAGTCCAGATCATCGTAGGCGTGTCCTGTTCTCACCTCCATGCCGGAGGGAAGTACCTTCCGCCAGACAAAAATGATAATCAGGGTTAGTAGGGTTAGCTAGGGTTAGTAGCGTTTCGTTTTCGTTTTTTGGGTCTCAACCTTGCAAGCCGAACTTGAAACCCTAAACCCTAAAACCCCAAAAACCCTGAAACCCGCGGGGCACGCAACGAACATGCTCCCTAAACCCTAAACCCTGAACCCTAAACCCCAAACCCTAAACCCTAAGCCTAAGCAAAGGCACGCACGATAGCCGGCTGCTGCAAGCGAGGCAGACTTCGCCTGGCTGTTTGTTGTCCGGCTCTCCCTAAACCCGAAACCCTCAAGTTGAGTCCAGAGGGCCTAAACCCTAAACCCTAAATCCTAAATCCTAAATCCTAAATCCTAAATCCTAACTCCTAAACCCTAAACCCTAAACCCTAAACCCTAAACCCTAAACCCTAAACGGGTATATTTCTCTGCGACGGTTTAAGGTGGCATGGAGACATAGGGCTTGCAGAGTCTGAGGTATGGGGAGGGACCCCGCAAGCTTCGACAATCTTCATGGATTCATGGGTCTTGGGTTTATCGTTTAGGGTCTAAAGTCTAGGGTCTATAGGGTTTAGGATTCAGGGTTTAGGGCGGTTCCTCAAGACGTTTTCCCAGGTTCCGAATTCCTCGCCTTCGACCCCTGTTTCTTGGGAGTTCCCGTTTTGCACTCTAAGGGGCTTCTAAGGGTTTTAGGGTTAAGGTTTAGGATTTTGGGCTTGGGGGTGTAGTTTCGGATTATCAGCCCCCCCCCCCCTCCCTTTCTGCCCCAGCTCTCTCCCTTTGGCTGGGTGTTGAAGGTCAGTCTCGGTGCTCGAAAGCTTTTCAATTCAGAAGTGGATCAGAACTTTATGGGCTCTTCTTTGGTACCCGACACTTAACCCTCAACCCTACAGCCCTAAACCCTAAACACGCTTACACCCTGACATAAACCCTACAAACCATAGTGCGCCATCCCCTAAACCCTAAACCCCAAACCCTAAACCCTAAACCCTAAACCCTAAACCCCAAACCCCCAACCCTAAACCCTAAACCCTAAACCCCAAACCCCAAACCCCAAACCCCAAGCCCTCCCCGCACCAAAGACCCGTGTCGTGCTGCCAGGGCAATGGGGAATCAGCTTCCCGTGAAGCCCCGCGCTGAGCCGCAGTCTGTTGAGGGTTTTGGGGCTTAAGGGTTTAGGGTTGAGGGTTTAGGGGTTTTTGGGTTTAGGGTTTTTCGGGTTTTTGAAGGGTTTGGGGTTTTTAGGGTTTCGGGTTTTGGGGCTTAAGGGTTGAGGGTTTAGGGTTTATGGCCATAACCTTGTTTAGAGGTTCCTATGTAACCCTACTCATAAGTACCCATGAACCTTCAAGCAGGGGATAAGTAGGACCCTATAAACCCCAAACCCTCATAACAACTGTACTTGGAGGTTCATGGTACTTAGTAACTAATTATATCTGTACTCCACTTATAAGCCCCTTAAGTGCCCTAATCTGGTTATAGTTACAGTTATAAGTACAGTTATATCTAGATACTAAGTACCATGAACCTCCAAGTATAGCTGGTATGCTCAGGCCCCATAGGGCGCAGGGGTCAGATCTTGGCGGTACGGGATTTAGGGTTTAGAGTGGATATTCTGTCTAGGCTGTGCATTAAGAACCCAAAACCTAGGTTTCGTAGGTTACCTTTGAGTCCTAGAAGGGGTTTGTACTAAGAACCGACCCGAAAAGCGGTTAAGGTTTCTTGAGGTAAACCTTGAAAGCCCTCAAGACATTCAGCGCGCAGTCCTGGACACCTACAGTACTTGGAGGTTCATGGTACTTAGCAACTAGTTATAGCTGTACTTATGACCCACTTATAAGCCCCTTAAGTGCCCTAATATAGCTATAATGACGGTTATAAGTACAGTTATATCTAGTTACTAAGTACCATGAACCTCCAAGTAAGCTACAGGAGCCCTACCGCCCTACCGCAGACCCAAGCTCCCGCCTAAGAAACCAGAGTTTCCTGAGCCCGAAAACCTAAACCCTAAACCCTAAAACCCAAAACCCTAAACCCTAAACCCTAGACCCTAGACCCTAGACCCTAAACCCTAAACCCTAAACCCTAAACCCTAACCCGAAACTCTAAACCCTGGACTTGGCTCAGACTTTCGGTAGCGGGTCCGTCGAGTTTTCTCGAGTTGCATCGAGTTGTTCAGGGTTCGGGGGTTGAGGGGCTTTGGGGTTGAGGGTTGAGGGTTTAAGCTTCAGGGTTTTGCGGTGTAGGAGTTTAGGGTTTGAGGGGTTGAGGAGGGTTCCGCCTTATCTGAAGCGATACGGTTGCGAGGTGTGAGGGTTTGAAACTGAAGGTTGCTGCGAAGCTTGGGTGTAGGCGAACACCCTATAAGCCAACCCTAAACCCTAAACCCTAAACCCTAAACCCTAAACCCTAAACCCTAAACCCTAAACCCTAAAGATCAACAACTCTTTGGAACCCAAGTTTGATCCACGCCGCCATCTGCAGCAAGCACACGCTTGCAACCCACGCTCAACAGCAGGTGGGGGGGGGGAACCCTATGGCCCCATAAACCCTATAAACCGGCTAATCCCGATAAACCCGAGAATCCCTATAATAAACCCGATAATCCGTCTAAGCCCTATAAACCCTGCAAACCGTGCAAACCCTAAACCCTAAATCCTATTCCGTAATCCCGTAAACCCAAAACCCTGGAAGGCCCATGATGCACACACACCCCTCCCCAACCCAATGCTCCCCACGCGTGCAAATCCCGCCGTGTGCCGGATGACGTTAGGATTTATATGTAAGGTTTTAGGGTTTCAATGGGGCTTTGAACTGTTCAACTGTTCAAGGATCTAGCCAACAGCCTAGGACCCAGAGCAGGCTCGTATGCCTTTTTTTGTGGGTTTAGCTTCCCATAAGCCCCTTTAGACCCCATCAAGGAACCGCTTTTATTGGTAGCTTACTCTTGGGTGAAGCACTTGGAGGTTCATGGGTACTTATAACCCCAATTACAAGTCTACTGATAACCTACTTAGAGGACATAGGCGGGCTTTTCAGTGCAGTTATCATTGGGGTTATACGTGCCCTGAACCTCCAAGCAGCCCTACAGCTTGTGGAAGCGTACGCCGGCCATGACCATCCCATCGACCACTCCAACGCCCGCGGTTCCGGAAGGCCGGGTCGTGTTGAGTTTTTGTTTCGGGAATGGTCAAACCCTAAGCCCTAAGCCCTAAACCCTAAGCCCTCAGCCCTCTAAACTCCAGAACTCCTAAACCAATTGTTAGAACTACCCATGAACCGCCGAGTATCGAAATCCTTGCTTCACGGGTCAACATCAAGAAGCTTACAAGAACTCTCGTGGTGACAAAAGGGTCCATGTTCCGCCGTGATGCTTGGAGTTGTTTCGGCTGGGATGATTCGCTCTTGCAGCTTGCCTTAGACCACATACTTGGTAGGCCAGTGGATACACTCCTAGCTTTTCGGGCATATTGAACACCGACTAAGTTGAGAGTCAGCTTTAAGTTGACATGTGTTGGGCCCGGGTACGCGATGCCATGTATACCAGCCCTAAACCCTAAAGCCTACATCCTAAACCTTAAGCCCCAAACCCTAAGCCCCAAACCCTAAACCCTAAACCCTCTATGTATCCCACCTGCCCCCCCAAGTTGCAAAACGCTAGGCGGCAGCTATGGTGCGGCTCAGCCAGGCTTCGACCAGGCAAGGGGGAAAAACCCTAAACCCTAAACCCTAAACCCGGGGTCAGGCGTAGCGGACGAAGCGCCCGAAACCCTTTAGACCTTTGACCCTGAGCCCTAAACCCTCAAGCCTTAGCCCGAGACCCGAAGCCCTAAGCCCGAAGGCCTAAATTGTTTTGGGTTCCAATCTGAAGTACCCGGGGTTTTGGTCAAAGCGTGCGCTTGCAAAAGCTAAAGATGCGTGGCCGCTGACAGGTGTAGGCGAAGGCAAGGCTTTCAGGCTCCGATGTCGCTCCTTTGTCTGTGCTCGTTTGGGGTTTGGGGTTTAGGGTTTAGGGTTTCGGGGTTCTAAGTCAGAAGGGAGTTCCTTTCCTTTTGTCTCCAATTAATTCCCGATTCCCGAACGGCAAGGTGTGGCTCGCGCAAGTGAACCACGTCAAGCGGATCCCTGTCGTTCAGGGCTTTCGGGGTCAATGGGGGATTTAGCAAAACCCGAAAGCACGCGTCTCAAGCTTCCCGAGCCTGCTTAATTAGGGCTCAGGGTTTTGGGTTGGGGTTTGGGTTTTACCCTAAACCCTAAACCCTAAATCCTAAACCCTAAACCCTTAAACCCTAAACCCTAAACCCTAAAAGGGTTAGCCTGAGGCCTCCATAGATTCACCTCCAACTGTTTATGCCCAGGCCACCAAGCATGGATGTTTGTTGCTGGTACTGGGCTGGGTGTCATATCTCAGGTATCTCTTTGGCAAGACGCCTCGGCCCAAAACCCACAAACCCACAAACCCACAAACCCCGAAACCCTAAACCCTCAACCGCAAAGCCCTACCCTCCAGCTAGGCTCACGGATGCTTTATCTTCCCCACTGCTAGGCTTGATCATAT